TGCCAGGGGAGGTTTAGGTTAGATGTTAGGAAGAAATTCTTTACAGAGAGGGTAATCAGGCATTGGAACAGCCTACCCAGAGAGGTGGTGGATTCACCATCCCTGGAGGTTTTCAAGCAGAGATTGGATGTGGCCCTTAGTGCCATGATATAGTAATTGGAGTTGGATCAGGGGTTGGACTTGATGATCTTGGAGGTCTTTTCCAACCCAATCTATTCTATGATTCTATGATTCTATGATTCTTCTTTCCAAGAAAAAAGGGGCACAGCTGCCATCATTCCTCGGGCCACCAACTCTCAGGGTGTGCAGAGGTTAACAGGGTGTTTGGCCAACCTGCCCTGGTGAGAGAAAGGAGAAGCCACACAGAAGAGAAACTACAAACCAATGTGGAGTAGAAACATGTGGCCAATAAGGTAAAGAATGAAAAGCCAGAACAGGAAGGAAAGGGGAAAGAAGGTAGGAAAAAAAGGGAAATATGCCTGCAAAAAACACCATAGGCATAACAATCAAACACAAAGTGGAACAGAAACAGAGAAGCAGAGAGAAACTAGGAGGAGGAAGCAAAGTTAAACAGGCAATTATGCTTTCACACATATGTTTGTATATATATAAAAATACATAGAAAAGTTACTTGGATATAGAAATAGTCATACAAGTACAAGCAGAAAACCTGTGCCATGCTTTATCTACACTGTCCTGAAAAAAAGCAAATTCTTTCCTGAGTGTGGTGAGACACTGGCACTTGTTGCTCATAGAAGCTGTGGATTCCCCATTCCTAAAAGTGTTCAGGGTCACATTGGATGGGGCTTTGAGCAACCTGGTCTAGTGGAATATGTCCCTGCACATGGTAGGGGTGTTGGAACAAGATGATCTTTAAGGTCCCTTCCAACCCAAACCATTTTATGGTTTCTATGATTCTGTAACTTCACTACCAGCCACTGGTTCTGGCAGGTCAGTGCTGACAGTTTTCACTGGCATGGGAATGCTTTCTGTACACTCCTTGTACCAAGGTGGCTGCCACTTTTTACTCTGCTGTTCAGAGATAAAATAACACAGAAACCATGCAAGAAAGTTCACTCTACAGCAGCATGTTTATTGTTACTGTGTGCACAGACAGACACAGATGCCCAGGAGGAATATGAGCACCGTTAGTTTATTGGCATTACATACAGCACCACCAAGAGCTTGAGATACCAAACGTGTCTGTGCTGGATGTTATATAAAAATAGAACAGAAAGGTCAGACCCTGTCCTAGAGACCCAATGACCCAGGCTAAAACCAAGATAAAGATAGAAAGCAGAAGCAAATAAGGCAGGCTGACCAGAATGGAGCCATGCCAAAGCATATACTGTCAACTCACCATACATGGCAATCCTGGATGGGCATATCTAGCAATCCTGCTTTAGACAGGAAGCTGGGAAGGGGTCAACCACAACACAGCACAAGCAAAGACCCAGCCATTCCCTGTTCTCTGAAATCCCACTTAAACCACTAATGGATATGGTGTAAAGATCCCCCATTACTGAAACAGCCAGCAATAAGCAGTAGCCCACATCAGAACTACCACATCCATCAAACCACATAGAAATAACCCCTAACTAAAATGGCCACAATGTCCATCATGATTCTTCTTCTAGCTGCTGGTTTGTTTAAATATCACATTTTGGGACATATAAAACAGATGGAGATCAAGCACTGTACATTAATTAATTTGGAATCTGTGAGCCCATCCACAAGTGATAAAGGAGGCAACACAGTTTTAAAAAATAGCAATTTAACATTTAACACATCTGCTAGATAATATGAGCTTGCTTTGACCTGCTGGTATAACAGGGTGCTACAAAACAGTCTTGAGTCTACAGAAATTTCTGATATTAATTAAACCTAGTTTGAAATGGGTGAAGAAAGGCAAGGCAGATATCTGGGCACATACCTCAATTTTGCAATTTCTAAACTTTTTTTTTATACTCCTAAAAGGCTCAAATCACTGCAGGTAACTGGAATTTAAGTCAAATGTATTTTTTCTCAATGCTCAGTTTAAACACTGCAGTCATCATCAGATTATCTTTTGGGTACTGTATTAGGTGATGAACTAACATCTGATACATGTCCTTTCTCTTCTTCCCTACAACCCAGAAGTGGAGGGTCTTGTTCTGCTTGTGTGTTCCTTAACTGTCTTTGAACATCATATAATCATTGCTATATATTTAGAAAAGGACCTTTGGTTGAACATAACTTGGAGCAGAACATGATGAGGTTTTTAGTGATCTTTATCTCCTGGAGTTGCACAGTTTACACAAAACTGGACCCCCTGAGAGCAGAGCTTCATTTCCTTGCAGAAAGCTCCTATGGCCTTTGGCACAAAGCTTTAAGCAGTCTTCCTGCTACCTGAGGCAATTCAAGGAGCCCATTAGAGAGAGAACAAATGCCTTCAAACCTTTCTCTGTGTTTCCAACAGAAGCCACCATAGAAAGACATGCAGCAGCAGAGATGCGCTGCAGCTTTCTGGATGGGTTGGAGCTCCCTTAGTTTGCAGGCTCCCCACTCAAGAATGTCATTACTGTTGTCAAGCCAAGGTGAAATGAATGTCAAGGCCAAGTCCAGGACTCTTCCTCTGAAGACAGGGCTGGACCTGCTAATCAGCCAGAGATGACAGAAACACCAGAAGAGGAAAGTTTATCACCAGGAGAAAGTCAGGAGTGCTCCTAACTCACTGACTCAACCTGTGGGCAAGTACCATCCGCCACAGAGCCAGCACGGCAGCAGCAGCTCTTCAACCCCTTCCCTGTGCTTGTCAGTGTTGCTGGAGCTCAGACAGCTGTTCCTGTTGTTCAGTGAGCCAACAACATTCAAGAACTTGGCTCCCTGGTAGCAGATGGGTGCAAAGAGGTTATGCAGATCTATAGATCACCTTCACACTGTGGCCACCTGAGCCTGGGCTGCCCAACCAGATCATCTACTGTGTGCCAGTGCATGGCCCCAAGTGCCAAGACTGGTGGGAGAAGACAATCTCTTCATTCCTCCTGTGGTACCAGCCACTTCAAAGGACTCAGATATGACTCCAAGATCCTTCTGGTGCCACTGTGCCCTGCCACTGTGGAGGGAGGTCAGGAGACTCTGCACAGACCCGCTCTGCTGGCCAAGCCTCCAGTGAAACTGCAACCGCAGGAGTTCAGCCTCAACACTGGCTGCTTCTAATGGGCACTGAAATCCCTGAATATCTTCAAATGAAATATTAATGTTATAAGCAGTATTCCATGGGTCTACAGGCTTTGTCACACCTCAGGGAAGCCTTAAACAGATTTAGCCCTGACTTCAAGACTTCCAAGAGAGCATGGATGCCATGTGTAGGCTCATCCCTGATGGCATCTGGTACCTTCATGAGCCTGAGTTGTCTTTCTGCTGCCATGGTGGAGACAACATTTTTAACTGCTCAGCATCCAAATTTTCTAAGCAGAACAAGATACAGGTATTTATCACTATGAACATCACTCCTAATATTATTAGGAGGTGAAATGCACTAGCAAGACCAACTGTAAGCTGTCCCAGTCTTAACAGATCAGGACAAGTGACTGAAGGTTGTTGAATCCCTGACATACATTTGCTTCCCATACTGCTGCAAACTATGAGGTGGTGTTAATCAAGAGGGGTGGATAGAATTTAAATCCTCTTTATTTTATCCTATTTAATTTGTCTCACAAAAGTACTCAAGGAAAATACTCACTAAAAGTTATTAAAAACATGCTGCAAAATAAGGTATTTGCTAGAAGTCTCTCAGATCATCAAGATTTACAAGGAAGGTAGGGACAGTGGGTATCAACAAAGGGGTACAGGCTGTAGCCCCAGAAAATATAATGTTGTGCCTTATGCTAATGGTAACATCCTGAGCTCTGAACAAGCTACAACCTGCCTCAAAGATAGTTGTACCACGTAGTAACTTGTAGATTGTACTTAATATGCTTATCTTTAAAATTAAAATTATAAATCACTGCAAAATTCCCTCTTCTTTTCCTCCTCCATATGAAGAATGGTCATTGACTGTGCTGTGAAAGATGAAAAGCAGGTACTCGTGTTTACACGCCACAGTAAACTAAGGAGCTAAGGAAGGCCTTATTTCTAGACCTTCAAGATTTGCACTTGGAGCATATAGCTGCTTGGTGGGAAGTTTTCAAAAGCTTTTTTCCTGTCTGGTTGTGTTGGTTGCAGCCACCAGACCTCCCCCTCAAAGAGAGCAACTTACACAAGCCATCAATAATGCCATTTCTGATCACATCAAGTACAGGAGCTCAAATATGTCTGTGAGGCTCTGAGGGTTCACCTGACATTAGGGCTCTGCTGTTCTATGCTGTGAGCAACCGTATGAAAGGCAGTGGCTGCCCCAATATGTTTGCAGATGAGAGTCAAACAGAAGAAATGTGGGGGAGGGGGGAAATGACTTGCCAAGATCCCAAATCCTACCCATGGCCAAGCATCATCTTTCCAAGCCACTTATAACAAGCAGAACTGGTGGGTCTCCTTGCTAACAACCCAAAATAAGGAAAACTTTTCAAGACAAATTTCTCCTCTGAACCTGCCTATCTTAATCACATTTATTTACTCTTCCTGTGTATTCAGGAAAGCTGGGCCTTCTTCCATCTTGTTCCACAAACACAGACCTGAAGCTCAGCTTTTCAATTTTGCCTCGGTTACCACAAAAACAGAGAAGTGCTGGTGGTAAGAACCCTCTGCAATCTCCAGTCCAACCTCTCAGCTCGTAAACAAGGCTGATTATTTTCCTCTGTAACACCAAACACATGCACATTTTTGTTAGTATTTTTATATGATCTAACAGCAGTCTTTTTCACAGTTAAAAAAAATGTAAAATTTTGTCCACCCCCAAAAGCTAAGAAGAACCAGAACCAAATGTGAGATACCTGTAAATCAAAGGATTCAGCAATTCAAACAGAAAACATGATCATCTAAAATCCCTGAGCAATATCCCAGTTGCCTGTGCCACAGTACGAAGCTCTTGGCCTTTGCTCCCCCCATGAGAACTTCTGGGAAAATCTATTTCAGACTTTCCTACTCTTATGAAGGAAGACCAAAAGTAAACAACCCATTACTATTTAAATAGGGCTGGAAACATTACTAAATATTTCCAAAACGATGTATCGTAGCTTTTGATCTGGGTGTTAAATTACAAGTCATTGCACTGGTAGCTGTGACTACTTATTCACAACCCCAGTTGAAACATAAAGGGGTTTTGGTACATCACATCCAGAGACTGCTATAGTATAACTATGTGACTGTATAATAAACTTCATATTTGCAACACAGCTTATATAATAACCATGATAGTTTTAATGATGCGGATAATAATAATAATAATACCAAATGTTAATATTAGCAAAGAGAGACCCATGCTTTTTCCATTCAGGGAGATGTAATGTAAAGGGCTGAAGCACAGCCTGGGCTTTGGCCATTACTCCACATCCCACAAGCTGAGCCATGAGCCCAGGGCTGCTGTTTCCACCACGTGAACCAGCACGCACAACACCACACGCACACCACCATAGGCACGTCAGCACTGCTCCATTGCCAGGGACAGTGATTACTGATCCGACACCAAGCTGCAATGACACAGCACCTGTCTGGAAGATGGCTAGGAAAAGCCACCTTTCCCAAACCTACAGAAGCAGTAACACTCCAGCCTCTTGCACCATGTGTTCCCTGTACATCCAGCATGCCCCTTCCACTTGTGCATGCAGGGCTCACTCCCTACCTTGGCAGGGAACTGCACAAGGCAATGCAATGCATTTAACTTTGGCTGGGATTTTGCTCAGCCAACATCTTCCAGACAAGATGGTTGCAGTATGATCAAATCTAGGCCTCAAAATATAAAGTGTTAATCAAGACTTGTAGGTTGTTGATTTCTTTTTTTTTTTTTTAATACTCCTAAATTGGATTTTTCTTCTCCTTTTAAGTTGCTGGCAATAGCTCCCCTACACCAGCTGAGATCCATACAGGACCTCACAGGTTGCTACTCTTGCAGCACTGGTGAAAAGATCTAAAGTTTTAATTCTCCTGATTGGGAGGAAAAAAGTAAGGTAAGCAACCTCTTCAATCCAGATATTGGGAATTCAGGACAGGCACAAAATTATCCAAGACCAAAGGCATGCAGTATATAAGAAGGCAGCCTGTACCATGCCTGCTTGAGAATGACTTTGAGCCCGTAGGATTTGCTGCCTTGCAAAATTCCCCTAATGCAGAACTTAAAGCAGTACTAATATGATGGTTTCTACCAGTGCAAGGAATCAGGATGCCACACCCACACAAAAGGCATTACCAGCCTGACGTACCCCTTAGCTAGCTCAACTCCAGCAGACAAGGCAGGCAATCAGCAGTTACCCAGGGAAGCCAGACAGCACAGAATGGGTGTTCAGAGAAAGCCAGGGAGAAGTGGACCATCCAGTTGGATGGAGGGAAGATGGTGGTGGTGGTTAGGAGGACTGGACCAGAGTTTTACATCTTAAAATCCGTGCACTCGCCCACTTCAAAGTGTGGGGGCTCCCAGCCCAGCCCACATTGTGCTGAAAGTCCCTACAAGCTGCTTAACAAACCACATGATGGGATGTGGTTTTGCCACCCAGCTCTGCTCTCCACCTGCCTCTAAGGAAACAGCTTACAGCTCCAGGTCCTGCTCTTGCAGTAGGGACCTCCTCTCCCCAAAACAGGTGATCCTTTTGGGCTTTTCTTTAGACTTCTCTGCCATTTATTCCCACCTCCCGAAAAGCAGCTGGGTCCTGTGCCTGGACAAGCCCCCAGCTTATAGGTGAGAACTCTAGTGATGTAAACCTCTCCCCTGGAGAAGCTCACAAAGTCCTGCAGCTCTGAGCCATGTACATGATCTGACACAGGATATTCCTGATTGAGATATGCAAAAGAGATGACAAAAGGCTGATTTACAAAACATCTCATGGCAACTACACTCTCCTGTGCAATGACACTGTCCTGTGCAACTACACAGTCCTTCCAGGGCTTCGGGCTGCTACTTCTTGTCTGTGCTCCACACACCCACTCCCCAGCAGCACAGGTGGGCTCCCAGTGTCCACACAACCCAACCTCACAGTGGGGAGCATGGCCAAACCTTCCCTCTCCTGCCAAGGAATTTTCTAATGAGCTGATTTGCAGGAACCTACCCAATAACTTTTATAGAAAGCTTCTTCTACTGCTTCTTCCAACTCAGGTTTTAAGGCAGAAATGACTGAGAGAGAGAATCTGCCTGTTCTACTGGTCATTTGTTTCAGTAGCTAATCACTCCTCCCATTAAAGACACATGCCATAATTTTTAATTGGGATTATCTACCAGGCACCAGTTCTAGCTCTGCCTGACACTGCTACACTCGAGAGCCCCTTCCTGCATGATGCTCTGCACCAGCAGTAATTCAGGGATCATTCTTCCTTCGAGGTGATGTGAGATGTAATCACAGTATCTGCTGACAAATATAAGATACCAACAGCAGTGAAGATGTGACAGCACAGCCATGAGAGAGAGTGGGACAAATCTGCCAGGAAAACCTGGATGATACTCAACCAGCCCTCGATTTGCAGGATACAGCCCCACTTTGATATTCAGCTGGTCCCAGTGTTTGTGTCACTGTGCAGACTGCTCTGTTCAACAGAGCAGAGCTGAAGTGCCAGGTAACCATCTCACTGCTTTTCATTTGTCACCCTTGGAGTGACAGGGAGGGAAGCACTGCTGGCAAGCCCCATCCTAAATGATCTCTGATACTTTCCAGGGAGGGAACTGAGGGAAGACTGAAGAGCACTGCTTTATCACAACCCTAGTAACTCAAAAAAACGCTGTCCTCCACTGAACTGTACCCACAAGGCAAGCAAATGGCAGGCACTGCATCCTCAGGTATAAGTAAACCCTATGCAGATGCACAGCAGTACTGCTTGCCAGGGCATTGAGCACTTTGCTACATAAGAAGGCTGCACTGTCACTGCAGAGATCCGGGTTCGATTCCCGGTCGGGGCCCCTCCCCGGGCAGATGGAGCTCGTTAGCCCGTAAGGCAATCCATCTACGTCCTGAGGACCTCACTGCCACCGTCCAAGCGTGCTTGGCCCCGGCAGATGAACCTCAGGATTAAAGGGTGGGCTCAGTTCCGCGCACACTGTGT